ATATTTCATATCGCGTGTAAACATATTGGGTGAGGTGAGGCGGCGCAATCGCCGAACCCGAGTTTATGCGCCATCGGGGGGCGGAACATTTGGGTGAGGTAAGGTAACCCAGCCGCCAACACTGTGCCGTTACATGGTTTCGGTCTGTCTAATGGGTTCGACGCTCTGCTATTTCCAACTGGATCCTAAGTCAAATTCGGGTTCGGGGCCAATAGCCTCGGTCAAACAAATGGATACCCAATAATTCTTCAGTGATTCTTAGAGGGCTCTTCAAATATATATTTTTGTTCCTTGGGAAGTTATTCAATGGTTTTTGGATTCATTAGCGGCTGTTACGCTGTGTCCTTGTCTTTCGCACGGAAAAGTACGGTTGTCGCAATTTAAGTACCACGCCAGAGAGAAACATGTCTAAATTGTTCCGCAGGGCGCAACGTAACAGCTGAACGTGGCGTACGCAACGATGTAAGAGAGTGCTCGTCTCTCCATGTGATAAAAGCAGACAAATATGACTTACATTAATTTTAATGAAGGGTAGTCTTGATTCAATTTGTTTAGGCAACCCATTTGCAATGTGTTTGTTTACATATGAAGATTGCTAAAAAATGTATTCGCTCGGTAAACAGATGAGCGAAGGCTGACCTTATGTGGGATCTTGTACTATTAGGGGAATTTCTATTCCACGGGTAAGAATATACGGTAGGTAGGGACAGTAAGAGTAAATTAATTCACTTTTAGTTAAAGAATTCATTTGTCTAATAAATTTATACAGATAGGTACATTCCACATTTCACTGGAGCCTGGAAATTTTGATATAAAAGGGGGTTTGGCTCATGTGAACGTCACAATATTCTGCCCGTTTCCATTTGTCCATATCTCCGGCGACTTTTACTGAAAAGTAAAAGTTAGCATTACCAGCTATATTTCGGGCATGTCAAACTTTAAAGAGTATAAATTACTTGTTAATTATTGGACGTTATATTTACTACAATTCCGAATAGTTAATTTAGGTATAATTCACTTATTTATATCAGCAATTTGGCAATTTCATATGGTCCAAATATAGACCACGTAAGAGGAAGGGTTGAATGCGCGGCGTTAGATTGAAAAGACACTCGTGGAATTACAATGTTAAATCCTATAATTAAATTGGAGTGTATTCCGACTGAATTAACTAAGTAGTACAACGAAGGAGAGACCAAAAACCACTTCAACACTTATTGTAACTGGCATGTGGCATGAAATATAGGTACAACTGGATGTTAAAGCATTTGCAATACACAGGTAGGTACCTATAAATCGCACGTAAACATTAATAAAAAGTAGAAACCTTCAGGATAGAGCTTTTTAAAATCGCACTTTTCATGTAGGTAGATACCCATCTGTCACTGCGGATAAAACACGTGTTTTCAACACAGATATCCATTTTCAGATTCCTACAATGATGTCCAAACTTCGTGCAGTTACTCAAAGGGTCAGTATTAACCAAATAAGAAAGTTAACGACAAAAGAAGTCCTCGAGAGAGAAGCTAAATATTCCGCCCATAACTATCATCCATTACCCGCTGCCTTAACAAAAGGAGAAGGTGAGTTAGGTGGGTTTCCAAATTTAATAAAAACAAAACCAATTCAGGAGTTTTCGTTTGGGATGTCGAAGGGAAAAGGTACTACGACTTTTTAAGTGGATACTCCGCCAACAATTTTGGTCATTGCCATCCCAAAATTGTGGAAGCGTTAAAGAAACAAGCCGGTGTCCTTCATCATACATCCAGAGCGTTTTATTCCGACGCGTTCGGAGAATACGCCAAAATTGTAACTAAACTGTTTGGTTACGATAAAGTTTTACCGATGAATACAGGTGTGTTAAAACCTACCAAAGCGCGCCTTTTCATTTTTTCCTCTAGGGGTCGAGGCAGATGAAACCGCATGCAAGTTGTCACGAAAATGGGGCTATTACAAAAAGAATATACCAAAGAATAAGGCGAAAATGATCTTCGCCAGTGGTAACTTCTGGGGTCGATCGTTATCGGCGATATCTGCATCAACTGATCCAGAAAGTTATGAGGGTTATGGTCCTTACATGCCAGGTTTTGAAATTGTTCCATATGATGATTTAAAGTCTCTAGAGGTACTTAACCATTATTGTGACATACAGCACGTGTTACGATGATACTTCCAGACGGCGTTCAAAGATCCCAATGTATGTGCGTTTATGGTTGAGCCTATCCAAGGTGAGGCAGGTGTCGTTGTACCATCAGACGGATACCTAAAGGGCGTTAGAGAATTATGTACTAAATATAATGTTATATGGATTTCTGATGAAATTCAAACGGGCTTGGGACGAACGGGCAAAAGGTTAGCAGCTGATTACGAAAATGTTAAACCTGATATATTAGTCCTTGGAAAAGCACTTGGAGGCGGCGTGTATCCCGTTTCTGCATGTTTAGCTAACGATGACATCATGTTGGTTATGGAACCTGGTACGTCTCCCGTCACTTTGTTAATAAACTTCAATCTAATTGCATGATCGACTAAGCGCACTGTAACACTACTATGTACTTACAGGCACACATGGTTCCACGTTTGGAGGAAACCCTCTGGGATCGAAAGTGGCTATTACCGCACTTGAGGTACTAGAAACTGAAGGTGTTATTGAAAACTCTTTTAAAATGGGAGAGCATTTTAGAAAAGGTGTAGAAAAGTTGAATTCACAACTAATAACAAAAGTAAGAGGAAGAGGTCTTTTAAATGCAATCGTTATAAACAAAGGTACGTTTGAAGTAACACTAGCTGTTAGGTAGACAATCATTCTCTACATTTTAGAGGTGAAAGCTGAGGATGTTTGCTTAAGGTTATTGAATAACGGATTACTTGCAAAATACACTCATGGAGATATTATAAGATTTTCACCTCCACTTGTTATTACTCAAGAACAAGTGGAAGATGCTGTTAATATTATTGGAAAAACACTTCGTGAAATGTAAATTTTTATATGTAATAAACCATGTTTAAGAAAGTAACAAGAATTAATTCTATAACCTATTTGTTAATATATACATACAGGCATTGTATTTATAAATATGATAGAAATGGTGTAACGATAACAGTTTTACATCAATTAATGTTTTTTGCAAAATATCTTTCGATACTTACAGCTTTAGACAGACTTAGAAAACAAGTTGGAAAGTTCCCGTTTTGGTGAGTGGTGGTAACGTCCTGTAATAACTAATGTAAAAAAATTGAATTTTCATTTTTTTATTAGCGGTGATGATCATATTATCATGTATCCGTAAGTGTGGTGTCACACTATGCGTTTGCACTGCTTCTGCTAAAACGCAAGTAGTCGTCCTGTCAAACCGTATCCGCTTTAGCAGGAGCGGTAAAACCGCATAGTGCGACACCACACATAGCGCGCTACTGACGTCAGAACATGGTGTATGGTGTTAGAACTCAGAATAAACAGTTTTGTTGCATGGTACGTCTTCCAGCCTCTCGCTTACAGATAAAATACCCTTATCTGTGCTCTCGCTGTTAGCGATGAGAAATTGCCTCTTAAATCAATTAAGTACCTAATAATTTTTTTTGATTTTTTGAAAAGCGCTGTACCTATGTATTAATAAAGTGAGTAGAACCCATTTATAGCAAAAAAAATGTGTTGCTATGGAAAAAATGTTTTCTAAGGCTGGAGTATTAGCCCAGTCAGAATAGGAAAAATAGAGGAACTAATTCATATATTACCAGTTCCTTCAGAATTGTGTAAGGGACGTTTCCCTAATCAACATAAAGTAAAGTCCCCCCGACTACCGGTTGTGCTAAAGGCGGGAGGAGAGTGAGAGCGGCTTTGAAGGTCCCATTTTATAGTGATTTGCGGTCAGATTCTTTTTAAATCGCTAAAACATTGCTGCGAATGTCGGTTGCGCAACTGCTTTTGATCCGCATTCAGCAAATGCGGCACCCACCTTGCACAGAGCTTTCGTATTCCTAATTCTTGGTGCAAGATATTCCGCACTCTTTCTTCCGATATGCTCACGGCCTCAGCTATTTCACACACCTTTACTCGCCTATCATCCAACACGATATTGTCCACCTTTTCTATTTTTTCCGGTGTGGTTGCAGTTTTTGGCCGTCCTTCACCGTGGTTCATCTTCGAGCGACGTGCGACCATGTTTAAATTCAGCTGCCCACTTTTTTACGGTTGACATTAAAGGAGCAGAGTTCCTGTAAACTTTTGTCAACTTTGAATGAATTTGCGTAGGGGTTAACCCATCCTAAACGAAGAATTTTATGACCGCGCGATATTCCAGTTTATCCATTTTAACAAATCAAAGACTCGTTTACACACACTACTTGAGCGAACAAGTTGAAACTTGTCATACGAACTAATAACATACGGGCGCAGGTACGAAACTACAACTTTCTTCGATTGGATTGCTATCTCTTGGTAAGGCCGAGAACTTTTCACCTTATCCTCGTATAACTTTGAGTGGATACATAATTAGGAAAAAAAATTATCAAAGTCCTCGTTTGAGATCGAAGGGACTTCAGCGCATTTTTGTGTGGCAGATCAGTATTCTATTAGCCACTTTCGACTCAACCATCAATAACAGATCTTGTCGAAGGCTACTACATTAACTAACCGCTTCCCACTTTCCGCGTGCACCCGCAATTCGCTTTTGAAGATTTGACTCCACCATCGCAGTAAGATCGTGTCGGGGGCTACCACATTCCCTTTGACGGTACCCACTTCCGACGTTCCGTTCACCCGCAATTCGCGTTTGAAGATTTGACTCCACCATTAGGAAGATCGTGTCGGGGCTACCACATTCCCTTTGACGGTACACCCTTCCGACGTCCCGTTTACCCGCAATTCGCGTTTGAAGATTTGACTCCACCATCAGCGAGATCGTGTCGCGGGCTACCACATTCTCTTTTACGGTACCCACTTCCGACGTCCCGTTCACTCGCAATTCACTTCTATTGGCGACACGAGAAAGAGAGACAGCGATTCGAGATGCATAAAGGAGCGGTAGTAATTCGAAAGTGGATCGTGGTTTATACACATATTAATAATACCTAAATTCTAGTTGTTCAGTGCCAGAAGATGCAACTTAGGACATTGGCCGGTGCGGCGGGTCGGTAGTCTTGATGGGGTGGAGCATTCGATCCTCTCCTCTCATACAGCCCCACCGCTGTTGTGGGTAAATCCCGCTATACGTATCGAGGTGGCTAGTACGGTCATGCATGTCTACAATCCCCATATTCAATCTTGGTGGATCAAAAACCTAAAAACGGGTTTTTTAAGAAAGTGTATAGAATCAAAGCTGTAGCAAATTTAATGAGCTTGTATTTATATTGAACAGAATTTTTTTCTATGACGCACCGTTTTCGAATTGTAAGTAAAAAACTATATAATGTGACCATCAAAACCACGGTCTTCCCCTTCCCCCTCTAGCACACCCGGAAGTCGGGGGGACTTTATTATATGTTGATCAGGGAACTTTTAGCTACACATTTCCAAAGGAATTAGTAATACATGATTTAGTTCCCCTATTTGCCATTTTTTGATCTATTCTTACTGGACTATATAAGAATTATAGTTTTTTCGTACTTCCGAGACTAAAGTGACCACTTCACTCCATTATGACAAGTACTGAAGTGTCACTTTTTGTCCCGCCGGGATTAAATTTTGACGAAAATCCCGGAAGGATGAAATTACTAACAAGGCAATTTCAGTAGGTTGTTCCACATTTTGTATGCGGCACTACTTCTTAAACGTATCGTACTGCTGCTCATATAGTTTTTTGGATTTCGGTGGTATCAATTCTTTACCTAGTTTGGCTGCTTTTTATGAATATCAAATACACTTTTGTCACCCACCACCAAAATTATGACACTAGCAATGACAGTTTCCAAATTATTTTTGTTACCATAGCATAGGAATTGTCGTACCAACGCAACGTTCCTATGGTAACTTGTTAAGTAGCGATTTTTTGAAAGAACGCGTTCTCTAACTCCATACATATTAAGTGTTTCAGTTTCGGAAGTACGAAAAATATCGTATATACCTTGCGACTGAAGTAGTGTTCTTAATCCCTCAGGTAACTTACTCATAAACTTACCTTCGGGATTAAAAGTACTACTTCAGTCCCGCGGTATATAATATACTATTAGGCAAAACGGAAGCGGGGAAGAAGACGTAAAAATTGTTCCATTTTCAAAGAATAGGTACATTGAAGGATCCCCATCCTATTAAACTTTACAACGAAAATGAAACAGACCTAATATTTCGGTTGTTTATTAATTTAATTAATTAATTTAATTAATTTCGGGTGTTTATTAATAAATAAACTGTACAATTACGACATAATGAACTACTTTCTCCATTCAAGAAGTGGACAGTCGCCGGATTTTAAATGAAGAGCAAGAGCTCTTTTCCAATTAGAACAAAAGGTACAGCCCAAAACTTCGTTTGATTTGTTTACAAGTTTCTTTTTAACTATTTTGGACCTTGCTGTGGCAGAATTCGGCAATTCCATTCCCACCAGATAACGATATAGTTTGCCCGACCTTAGCCGACGGCGGTTATAGAGTTTTCGAGGTGTTTTGGTCAAACTTTGATTACGGTTTAAATCAACAGACGCTTCTTCTGTGCCATCATCGTTTAATAGATCTAGATCGAGTGCCAAATCTGCGGCCTGCTTCATCTCGACAGCTTCCATTGGTTTCTCTATTCCTGCGCTTACAACGTTCATTACACATTCTTGTTGATAGAGCGCGGTATTTAATTCCGTTTCTTGCTTTAGATCCATATAACTCGCATCGACGGATTCGATATTTCCTTCGACAGTGTTCAAAGGTTCTAATGCCACAATATCATTTTCAACTTTCACAATAGTTTCATCTGGATCATCTTCAATAATTATGGGATCTGTGAAAAGGAAAACACTGACAAGATGTTGTAAGATCACTAGTAACAGCAACGCTTGGAAGTTTATAATGTAAGAGAAGCAGTTATGGGTATAGAATTAGTCAACACCCAGGCAAAAGGTAATGCGGTGTCAAGGCCCAAAGTAACATCAACAAACAACCAAGAATTGCAGTTGAACTACTCATTCCAAGTAAACACGGACAGACCCAACCTACTAGGACATGCCTGGTCTAATGAGATTACCTTACACAAACCTGATTTGTAAATCATTATCTACCTATCAATACCCAACCAAATATCTTTTATCTCCTCCTGTATCTTAGCAATTCTGTTTTTCGGTTACAACCCTGATGTTTTATAGTCGCATTTCAGGAAAAAGTTAGCTGCACAAATGTAAGCTACCTCAAGAAAGGGTCACATTGGGTGTAATAGGTAGGTACGTAGGTACCTATTGTAACGGAAATGCTCCAGACATGACGTCGCCTTTGGCGCTCTGGAATTTTCTACGCGCGCGATAGTAGGAACATTCGAGAATGTACTGGACTTACATTGCTTGCGTGTATAAATGGTTGCGGACCGAACATCGCGGCAGTCTACTACCGAACGAGTACGGACGAAACACGAGCGCGGAAATATAAATTGCGAAGTGTGTGTGATATAAATAATCGATATAAATTGTACGGTTTTTATAGTGTTTTAGTTTTGTTTAATAAATATTGATATAAATCGAACCCGAATTAATAAATAACGTTACACTATATTAGATTGGGCAACGTACATTATAGAGTGTGAGGGCATAGATTTGTACATGTGGTTGTATCTGCTTGAGTTAAATAAATAAATGTTTAGAAACCGATGTTTAAACATGGGGTCAGTAAAAACAAGGTAAAAACACACACAAACAAAACATGGCAGTAGTATGAATTTTGACAAATGGTTATGCAACATCTTTCTAGAAAAGAAATGTTTACAAACTTCTCAGAAACACTACCACAGCAGAGGAAAAAGGCGCACCTCTTACTATTATATTTTCTAACTAAAGTAATAGTCCGGGAGCCAGTGACATGATTTGGTGACCAATTTCCTCCCGGAATTTAACAAACAATTACGATGGCTGTGTTATTACGATTTTCGACCGTCAGCTGCGGCATCTCTGCTGGGTGGGCCAACGGCAGCCCCCAAAACTCGTTTAGATTAACGCAATGGATTAAGACATATGATTAGTGGAAATTTGACAAAACGTCAAATTTCAACCAATCCTAGACGTAATCCACTGGTTAATTCCAAGCTAGGTTTAAACTGTCTTTGTGCAACCGGCCCTAAGTATACAGTTGCCACTTCTAAAAGAATATAAGGTTTTGATTTAAGACATAATTTTGGATGTTCGTAACTAGCGAACTTGATAGAACCTCGTCAGCTATTGACCCAAGTTACGCGACTCACTTCTTTAAAAGCATAGGGTTTTGTTTGCATATGGTGCAGGGTCTATTTATCGGACCTATACGGATGATAATATGGACGACGTTTTTTTATTCAAAGTAACACACTAAATATCTTGTAACAAATTTTCAACCGGGATAGGAAATCACTGAAAAAAATTTTTTTTTCCTGCACGTTCTAGGAGCAGCTGACGGATTTTCCAGCAACGTACATCCGGCTGACGTTTTTTTTTATTCAAAGTAATAGGTCAACTATCATCTGACAAATTTTCAAGCGAGAGGGAATAACTGAAAATGATTTTTTTTGTTACAAGTTTTGGGGGCTGCCGTTGGCCCACCCAGCAGAGATGCCGCAGCTGACGGTCGAAACACGTAATAACACAGCCATCTAAATTGTTTATGAAATTATCAGCCGGGAGGAAATAACTGACAAATTTATGTCGCTGGCTCCCGGACTATAACTCACGATAGAAAATTAGTAAATAGGTACCTAACAACATAGTAATTCTTTTTTCATGTCTTCATCTTCATTAGTCTTATTCCATTTCTTTATGTTTTACATATGTGTAACCTGTAGTCTTAATCATGTATGTACCTCATCGTTAACACCCTCTAAACTTTAAAGGGTGTTTTTAAGGCGGACCATACAGATGATAGTTGCTTGGAGTAAAGGTCGGTTTTCGTAAAGACACAACATCTAACGTAAACGAAATGTATTTCATGTGGGGGCAGTAGGGCGAAATGTGGAAGTTGGCAGAAAAATTTATCCCAACTCGCACGAAAACCGACTAGGAAACATTTCTTTATACATATCTTTTGCAGAAAGTCCTTTTGCCCAGAAAAACACCCAAGAGCACGCTGCTTTTTCCACTGTAGGTACACACTTTAAGCAATGTCGCCATTTTAACACTTCTTCCACATACTGGCATACGAATAATAGTTCACTGCTATTTTCAACTTTCCCACTGCACTGCAGTCTGCGGCTTAGTTAAGGACCTTCCCTCGTATTGGTCATTAATTTTTACAAAAATGAAAATGTGTTACTAACTATGAATGAATTTTTTACAACTGCTTTGGGCTAATGGTCAAATTTTCATTTATGGTTAGTCAGATAAATTGTATAACATAATGCGTGTGCCTTATTCCATAGATATTAAATCCAATTAACGTAAAACTGTAATACTGGGTGTAAATAATCAAAAGTTAAACATATTCTCCAGCATATTCCCATATTATACTGCTTAGCACTCAAGTGAGCATAGATCTAGTGAAAAGGGTGTTAATATCTGAATAGCGTTGGCTGGTTTTAATGAACCACTGATCTGCTAGATTGGGGGTCGGCAACCTAATGAAACGGAAGAGCGAAAAGTTACAAATTACAAAATGTTCCAGTTGTTCAAGAGAGATATACAGGGTCATGCAACAGTGCGTCGGTCTATCCTAGCTCATACCTGGAAAAAAATAAACTGTAGATGGTTGCGCATCTACAGAAATTATTTTTGAATGTACAGGGTGCCCCATTTTTACAGTGTCTATAAATAACTGATTTTTTAAATAGAACACCCTGTATATTTTTACTTGTGCAATGTCATTTGCATTTTACATTTTCTCAACGTTGCCATGTTATTAATTTCTTTCTGAATGATTCCCCATATAAGCAAGCCTCATTTTGATGAATCGTAGCCACCTTGATTTTTAAATTAAGAAATACATTTGATCTATAATGTTAGCCCAAGTAAAGGGCAACACTTTGATAATGAGAAAGTTCGATTTAGTGATACCTTTTTCAAATGCAACTACCTACCACTATTTTATTTTGCTATTAGATTGTCTTTTGTGTTCTCTTCAATTTTTATAAGGAGTGTGCTGTGCTTAAATCTCGTAGTTTTTCAGTTATCAATACTTTTCACAAAAGTACCTACCCATTAATTAATTACATGTTTATATACCGAAGTAGGCTGTGATAATAAAAAAATTATCAAAGTCCTCGTTTGAGATCGAAGGGACTTCAGCGCATTTTTGTGTGGCAGATCAGTATTCTATTAGCCACTTTCGATTCAACCATCAATAACAGATCTTGTCGAAGGCTACTACATTCACTAACCGCTTCCCACTTTCCTCGTGCACCCGCAATTCGCTTTTAAAGATTTGACTCCACCATCAGGAAGATCGTGTCGGGGGCTACCACATTCCCTTTGACGGTACCCACTTCCGACGTTCCGTTCACCCCAATTCGCATTGAAGATCGTGACATTGAACCGATTTCACTCCACCATCAGTGAGATCGTGTCGCGGGCTACCACATTCCCTTTTACGGTACCCACTTCCGACGTCCCGTTCACCCGCAATTCGCGTTTGAAGATTTGACTCCACCATCAGGAAGATCGTGTCGGGGGCTACCACATTCCCTTTGACGGTACCTCCTTCCGACGTCCCGTTCCACGCAGCACTTCGCGTTTGAAGATTTGACTCCACCATCAGTGAGATCGTGTCGCGGGCTACCACATTCCCTTTTACGTACCCACTTCCGACGTCCCGTTCACCCGCAATTCGCGTTTGAAGATTTGACTCCACCATCAGGAAGATCGTGTCGGGGGCTACCACATTTCCTTTGACGGTACCCCCTTCCGACGTCCCGTTCACCCGCAATTCGCGATTGAAGATTTGACTCCACCATCAGTGAGATCGTGTCGCGGGCTACCACATTCCCTTTTACGGTACCCACTTCCGACGTCCCGTTCACCCGCAATTCGCGTTTGAAGATTTGACTCCACCATCAGGAAGATCGTGTCGGGGGCTACCACATTCCCTTTGACGGTACCCCCTTCCGACGTCCCGTTCACCCGCAATTCGCGTTTGAAGATTTGACTCCACCATCAGTGAGATCGTGTCGCGGGCTACCACATTCCCTTTTACGGTACCCACTTCCGACGTCCCGTTCACCCCCAATTCGCGTTTGAAGATTTGACTCCACCATCAGGAAGATCGTGTCGGGGGCTACCACATTCCCTTTGACGGTACCTCCTTCCGACGTCCCGTTCACCAGCAAT